TATACCAACTCAATGTCACCTATTAAGGAGCCCTGCTCAAATGGGAGAGAACTTTCCAGAAGCCTGAACACACAAGCAAGAAACCATCAACTTATAGAATCATGGGGAGCCATGTTGACCCACCCTTGCACCCCCAGTCCCACCGCCCTGTTCAGCCCCCTCACTGTGGTACAGGGTCTGTGCTAAGAACATAAGGCTGTTCAGGATTTGTGCAATAAGGAGCTGAGGCTGAGGGGGTGGAGATGTATTGACTAAACAGTCCTACTAGTGGCTGTGCAATACAAACAGAAAGCAGAAGCACCCAGTAAGTCTATTGTGAAGGATCTAACCTTGCAGGGCTGCTACAAAGAAAAAAGGCTTGAGATGAGGTGAGTGGGAGCACGGAGGAACAGAAGGAAGGAGGGATGAGTGGGAGCACAGAGGAATAGAAGGGGGATGAGTGGGAGCATGGAGGAATAGAAGGAAGGAGAGATGAGTGGGAGCACAGAGGAATAGAAGGGGGATGCGTGGGAGCATGGAGGAATAGAAGGAAGGAGAGATGAGTGGGAGCACAGAGGAATAGAAGGGGGATGAGTGGGAGCATGGAGGAATAGAAGGAAGGACGGATGAGTGGGAGCACAGAGGAATAGAAGGGGGATGAGTGGGAGCATGGAGGAATAGAAGGAAGGAGGGATGAGTGGGAGCACAGAGGAATAGAAGGGGGATGCGTGGGAGCACGGAGGAATAGAAGGAAGGAGGGATGAGTGGGAGCAAAGAGGAATAGAAGGAAAAGAGGAGTAGGAGAAAGACAAGGAAGAAGAGTAGTTCTGGTCATTGTCAACTAGCTAAGTATAGAGAGAGCAACCCACCCCAGTGTAAGCTGCACAGGACAGGACACCCCAAGGTTGCTGTGTATGTGCTTCCAGAGCTAGATGGGGAGAGCATTCAGCATGGTGCACATTGAAGATACCCCTCTTGGCCACACAAGGGAGGATGAGAGCATCACAGTACTTGAGTCTTCCTAGGATATATCTAGTCTTTCAGAAAGCCAGTGGCTAGAGAAACACAGAGATGCTTGTCAGAGGCAAGGGCACTCCTGGAGGACATGGGTGGGCATGGGAACAGAGACCACAGCAAGGTTGCTCTAGCAGCATTTTTATTTACAAACTGCAATTTCCATTGAATTTATTACCATAAAAAAGCCATTTACAAGCAAGAAACAAGAATTCAGAGCGAAATGAAGCAGCACTGAAATATTCATGTCACAAACCTAAAGCAAAATGAATACGAGTAAAATATCATTTGAATAAATAGTCTTCAATTCATGCTATAAAATAACCCTTAATGGCAAGTTACTAGTTGATACAGCATCCGCTTAGCTAGCTTCATTTACTTCACGTGGTGATGAAGTGTGGCGTTGAGGTTACCAGTTTATATTGCAAGATAATGACACCATGTGAAGTCATTCAAATTGCTCAGCCATTTGTAATAGAAGACTACGTTAGCCCTACTGCTAAAGTGGTAAGAGGTGGTTTCCCATTAGGAAAATGGTCGTTCTCAGGGGAAGCAGGTGAGTTTACCTCTTGCTCTCGTCAGGGCAGCAGCCTGGAGCTTGGTCTCCCAAGTCCTGAGGCCGCATTCACAGCATGCTTGTCACTGCAGGGCAGTCAGAGGTCTGTACGCTCAATCTGCCACTCAGGGCAGTGAGCAAAGCTTGCTCCAGGAGCTAATCGGGAGCAGCAATAGCCCTGTCTGTGCCAGATCCAGGGGGGACCTGGAGTTGGCAAGCCCTGGCAGGAACAGTGGGAACTCTGGCACTTACTGAAGACGACATGTGTGACGACCATTACAAATTTGGAACAAAGTGAATGACTTCTCTGAACTTTCAGTTCAGCTGCACTGAGTAATGAAATCTATGATGTAAGAACTAGATAGCCTTGTATAAAGAGTTTACATAATTCCCCAGTACTTTCGTATATAAAATTTAATAAATAACCCTGACCAGGCTAGAAGCACCATTCAAGGGGCATGAGCCCTTGGAAAATAGTTTAGATGTTGCATATTTGAGTCCCTTTCAGTGGAGGCTTCACAGGAAACCATTATAGAATCTAACAACAACAGTAACTACAAAAACATAGCAGTAACAAGTGGAAAGCTTAAAATAAACACAGCAACCCAGGGCAGAGCTCATTCACACCGACATTTCCCCATAGCCCTTGCTTTGTGTTCTTGCAGATTTTCCCCAGAATCTAGGCTGTTAAAGATTAAAACCACACACACACACACACACACACACACACACACACACGAGTGCGCAGGCCTGTGGTCTGGGCTAAGGTAAAACAAAGAGGCGGCGGGTTATACTTGCCATCGTTAGAAGAGGCATACGCTTAGAGATCTCTTATAGAGGCATACACTTAGAGATCTCTTATAGAGGCATACACTTATAGATCTCTTATAGAGGCATACACTTATAGATCTCTGGGAGATTTAAAACTTACCAATTTAGTTCTACAGTACATTCTGCTTAACAGTGAACTGACAGCATCCTTTCTGCTGTTTACACACATACACACACACACGAGAGAGAGAGAGAGAGAGAGAGAGAGAGAGAGAGAGAGAGAGAGAGAGAGGGAGGGAGGGAGGGAGGGAGGGAGGGAGGGAGGGAGGGGGAGAGAGAGAGACAGAGACAGAAACAGAGACAGAGACAGAGAGAGAAACCCCACCAACAACAAAAAAAAAACCTGCCAAGGCAGAGCCAACTGATTGGGAGGCTTTTCCACTGACCAGGAAGATGAACTCATGTTTGTAACTGTATTTACAAATGGTTTCTAAATGTATTTACAGCTTTAGTAGAAACAAGAGGGCAGAGTACTGATGAGACCAAACAAAGATTGAAAACCACAAGTGTTAGCAAAAGTATAAAACATCTTCACAGTTTGTGCAATGGGGTAATGTCACAGGGAAGGGTGCTGTGGCTGTCTTCACATTGTCTAACATGGAAAGGTAGCTGAGAAGAGACTCAATCACGCACAGGCCTGTATGAAAGCAGGACATCCTTCACTGTAAAAGATGTCTTCACATCTTGTTCATCTTAGTGGACTTGTGCATCGGCTATAGTGAGAGACCTAACCTACAACTGTACAGGGACAGGCTTGCTGTCCACAAGGAGTTACACAGTGAGCTTTAGGAAGAGAGGCCTACTAGGTGGCCATGCTGCCTCTCCTGGCACATCCTCATGTGGCTAGGCACAATTAACTGCTGCTGCTCTGTCTGCACAGTGGGCCCTTGGTAGCCATGCCTACTGGTAGGCACCAAAGGTGATTGAACAGACAGGCTATGAAGCGCTGTGCTGGCCTGGGCGCTGCCTCCCTCAAAGCCCCGTGAACTTTTACAGTACTGTGTTATGGCTTGAGAATTCATTCTTAACACTGCTAGCAGTGGAGAGGGTAAAGTGTTAGCAACACGAATGGGAGCAAGCGCAATTTGTAAAACGCGGACTCATGATCATTTAAAACTCAAATCGGTTTTCTGCCCTTTAACGGTCCCATTACAATGTTTGAACCTGAACTGTACAATCAAAGCAATGTATATTTTTGTCAAAGACAATTTTGGATAAGTCACTCTTTGGTAAACTCAAACCAGCTAAACAAGTTGACAAACACAAGAAATCCATGTCTGTGAGTTCCGACAGACAGTGACAAGAGCCAGGACATGGTCGTGCTGCCCGAGTGTACTAGCCTCACCACAGAAAGCTCTGGAAGCATCTCAGAAGGCCCCAGGCCTAAGTAAAAAGGAGGCTCCTTCCCTGAGCTCAACGTCTCACGTCCTTAGATTTAGGGCCTTTCTTGTCACAAACTTAATTGATATCACAACACGAAAAAAGTTTTGCATTTAATTTAAAAAAAAAAATCAAAACCAAACGCATTCATATAAGGAAAATGAAAAATCACAGACATTTACCTGAAACCTCAGAACACATTTAAGTAGGTAAACACTTGGGGCCCGGCCTCCCCTTGAGGTGTTCAGCTTTCTCAGCTGAACAAATGCTTCAGGGAGAGAACAAACCCCGACTTAGGCAGTTTGACGAGGAAAAGGCATACTGTATACCCGATTAGCAAGAGCTGCTCCTGGGAGCAGCAGGATTAGACATCTACAGGAGTTAACACTGAGGTGAGGCGAGTTCACATATGAGCAGATCCTGTGTGCCAAGGAGGTGCTGCTGAGCCGCCACCAGGGCTGCTACACACAAGGGCTGGAATCAAACTTTTTCTTAAAAACAAAACAAAAAAACACAACAAAAACTTTCCCCCCAAACCCATCATTCTTGGTATCCTAAGAGCCAAAAAAGCATGGCAAACCAGCAAACATCTATTTCTGTATTCCTTAGCTTAGCCTTTGCGGTTGGTCCTCGGATTCTGGGTTTGTTTGTTTGAGGTCAGGTCTCAGAGCTCAGATTCTCAGGCAGAGACTAGAGCACTGCAGGCTCCTGGCAGCCAGCTGCATGACTGGCCCCTCTGCCTGAGTCTACAGCACCAGAGCCATTTGTGAAGCCTGTTGGTGGAGATGAATCTAACGGCAAACAGAGACAGTCTCCAAAGCACTGAGCAGACACAACTTGGACAGTAACCAGTCTGCAGCACATGCTTTTGAGGTTTCTTTTCAAGCTGTGAACTTGAGAGGAAAGTAAGTAAATCAGTACTACTGGTAGGTTTCACATTTTTCTAGACCGATACTGACCTAAAAGATACTTAACATAAAAATAGCACCACATGACCAAAAATGGTGAGACATACATAGATCTGATGACACACAGAGGATCTTAGAGAGTTCTGACTTTTTTCTTTAAGCAGGAAACACTGAGAGTCGGGGAGCCACTGGGGCTCTCATTAGCACACACAATACTAAGATAGATATATTGCTTGCAATTCCCGTAGAGTATATAGCTTTACAAAAAGTACAAATTCCACGTTCTGCAGTTTCCCTGGGAACTGCATAGAAAAAGCTGCTGTGCACCTTAACTGGCTATTTGAGGAGAGAGAGAAAAAAAAGAAAAAAAAAAGGAAACAAAGTAACAAAATCACAACACTGCTTGGAGAATTTTCTAGACAAGCTCTACAAACTCCTGTCCTTTAGTCAGAGTGCTAACTAGGTGGGACGGTTTAGTTACCTGGTATGTACGCTTCTACAGTACAGAATGAAGGTAGAGTTGTAAGCCAGTAAAAATCTTGAAAACCACTGCTCCTTTGGGGTTGGCTAATATAACACTACACTGTGTAGAAAGGTCAGCACCACAGGCTGTCCAGTGTACCTGGACAACAAACAAAAATTCCAAAATGGTTTCCCACTACAGTTGAAGGAACCTTATGGCATTTGGTTTATGTGTTTGTTATGAAGCAGAGCTATGAACACTGTGATTTGCTTTGTTTGGATTTGGACACAATGATTACTATACATGAAAGTCTACTGACATTCTTCTGTAAGGGAAACAAAGGGTTAAAACTAACATAGTAGGTGGGGCTGAAACAAAGCCAGAGCTCTGCTCACATTGTATTAAATTATATATTCTTCTTACATTCACCTCAACCAGAATAAACTCAAATTTGAGAATTATATATACTATATAATAACCACTTTATTATATATATGTATATATATATAAATTGTCTAACTACCCCCTAGAAGTAATTTTAAATTAGAAAAGATTACCCATTTGTACCAGCTGACAGCATCCTAGCCTCTCACCATGAAACTGCACTGGGGCTAGCACCCACAGTGAGTACCTGCCTCTTGGCAGAGAACGTGGGATCGACCAGTTGGCATAGCTGAATCACTGGCAGAGTTGGGAGAAGCATTTAGCCAAAGAGGAATACTGTCAGCCTGTGTTTTCCCTGGATACGTTGCCCTTCATGCTTTGAGCTCCTTGCGGGAGGGGAATGGAGGGGAGGGTAAACACAAGAAGTACCCCAACCAGAACCTTCAGAGAAACTAGCGAAAAATCGAGAGATTTCCAGATGGTGGGGAAAAGCAAAGATTACAACAAAGCAAATCACAAGGACGCATTGGTTGATGTGCTTTGTTCAGGTGCTCCTTAGTCAGGCGCATCAGACACTGTGTGGATTTCCAGGCGGGAATCTAGCGTCATCTCTGAGGCTGACGCATCACTTTCGAGTTTCTGTTCTACATACACATCTGTTCTTTCGGGGGACTCCATTCGAACCCTGCCCTCGGTGACACCCGGGTGGTTTTTCCGCAGGTGCTGGTTGAGGGTGCCCTGGAATGGAAAGCACTTCCCACAGACCTCGCATCGGAATGGTTTGTCATCAGTGTGGCCCCGGATGTGATACTCTAGCTGGTCCTTGCGCGTATACTTCTTCCCACAGAACTTGCACACAAAGGGAGTGATTCCCATATGCAGCCGCATGTGCCTGTCGAGGCTTCCCTTCTGGTTAAAGGACTTCCCACAGTAAATACAGATCAACCTCTCGTTGTATGGGTACCAGTAACCTCTGGCACTCCTCTCCCGAGGACTGCTCTCATAACCTGGATTGTTCATCATGGCTTCACTGTCAGACCCCTGCACCACACCCTGCAGGTCACTGTGCAGGTGAACAGACAGAGCCCGCTTCTGGCGGGCCCCACGGCCTCTGAAGCAGCTCAACATGGACCTGGATGGACTGGAATTGGTCTGACTTCCAAAAGCTTCTGGCACACTAGAAGGCTGTAAAGCTGCCTGGGAGTAGGGATACGCATGTTGGAGTACAGAGCCATAGGCCCCCACATTCACAGCCACAACTTGTTCCCCATCAACCATCTCCGTGTGGTAGCCATCATCACCCAGGGAAGAGCTGTCGGAGCAGCTGGGCCGGTCAGACTTCTCCATCTTCACTTTCACTTCAGTGATCTGGCTCTCTCTCACCAACAAGTCCCCTTGCTCATGGTCCCCTTCTATCTGAATCTCATACTCAGACACACTCCCACTGCTCCCCCGATCTGAGTGTCCCTCTTCCTGTAAGCGGCTCCGAAGGGCTTTGTTGGGGGTTGTCTCCATCCGGAGATCACTGCTGACTGGAGGCTGCCGTACCTGAGGGCAGTATGGAGGGGAGATCTCAACAGGATTGGTGAAGAAACTGCCATCTTTCACCCCATTGCGGCTCTCAGAATTCTCTTCAGCACCAATGGTAACAGAGTCAACATCTCCCACGCTGATCTTTGAGTGGATGCTCTCTAGGATCTGTGTGCACTTGTCAATGACACACTGCATCTGAAGAAAGCTGGCTGCAGTGAGAAAACTGACAACATCCTTCAGCTGCAAGGACATCCTTCCAGTGTAACAGAAGGAGAGCAACTGCTCGAACACGCTGGGGTTCTTAATCACAGATATCGACAGGCCGCTCATAGTGCTCAATGCTGAATGGTCCCGGAAATATGGGGAGCTGGCTGCGAGGACGGCTTTGTGGGCTCGGAAGGGCTGACCCTGGATGTGAACGATGATGTCGCATAGCTTCCCTTGCAGGCGGAGCTCATTCAGTTGGCTCAGAACGGTGCTGCTGTGCTCAGGCACGTCAAACTGAATGAAACTGCTGCTGTCCATTTCTCCTGACACGAGACTTAATCTGCAGAGACAAAGAGCACATAATCCGTCAGGGCTCCTCAGCAAGAGCAGCAGCATAAACAGGAGCTCACCGCAGCTCTGCAGCCAGCACTGCGGTCTGCTGGACATTATTCCTCTTGCTCGGTTTTACCTTCCATCTCTCCATTAACTCACCTACAGCCAAATAAGTGAATGATCCATTAGCCCAGTGTCACTCTCACTTTCACTCGATCAAAAGTAAAGCACTGCAGGCACAGGAGGCTGCCTCAGCTAAGAGGAGGTGCCATTCTTCAAGAACATTCCCATCCACCTGCTGCTGAGGGTCTCTGAAGGATTCTACAAAAATGTTCCAATTCATGTACACAACAGTTGCATTGTGTACTGCTGTGTGCGTGGCTGGTTTATGTCTGTGTACATTTTTACATACACACCACATGGGCAGGAACATGTGTGAGCATGTTCATCGGAGCCAAAGGTCAATACTGTTTATTATCTTGGTCTCTATTTTAATTTTTGAGAGTAGTCTCAAACTGAGCTGGGAACTCATCAACTGGTAAGTCTTTCTGGTCAGCAAGATAAAAATAACCATCTGTCTCCTGCCCACAGCACTAGGACAACTAACAGGCCCATGTCCCCAAGCCCAGTTTTTAAATTACTATTATTTATGTGTATAGGTGTTTTACTTGCCTGCATGCCTATGTCCCGTGTGCATGCAGTGTGCTCAGACGCTAGAACTGAATGCTGGATCCACTGGGACTGCAGTTCCAGATGGTTGTGAGTAAGGCTGTGAGTGCTAAGGATCAAACCTGAGTCCTTCGGGAGCGCAGTCAGTGTCCGTAACCACTGCTCCAGTGCCCACCTTTGTTATCACATTGCGTTTATTTATGTCTGGGGTGCCACAGTGCACATGTAGAGGCCTGAGAACAGCTTTTGGAAGTTGATTCCTTCCCTCACAAAGTTCTGGGAGATTAAACTCAGCTTGTCAGGCTTCGAGTGGATGCTGAGCTCTCTCTCTGCCCTCCCTTGGTCTTTTAACACAGGTACTAGGGATTAGAACTCAGGGCCTCATGCTTGTGTGCAAACACTTTACTGAATGAGCCATCTCCCCAGCTTCCGCTTGCATATTTCCAATTGGTATTTTTTAAGTGTCTAGTCACAAGGAATGGAACAAACTTTTTCCAGTGCAATCTTGATGTGAGTGCTAGAGATCAAACCTGAGTCCTTTGGGAGAGCAGTCAGTGCTCGTAACCACTGCAACCTTTCATATCTTTCCCTACATATCTGCAGGACAAGCAATACTCAGTCCCTTATAGGAGAGAGGTATTTCAGGCAAAAGCAAGAAGAGTGATGAACACATTGCTAGTGCAGGGGCCCTTCAGTGATGCTCATAGAACTAGCATGCTTGGGACAACTGCTCCCACCACTCCTGGCCTGGAATCTGCAGCTCTGAACCACTTAAAACTCCTGACACTGAAGGGGTCAGTGATATGGCTCAGTGGGTAAAGGCACTTGCCACCAAACAAGACAATCTGAGTTCAATTTCTTCCATACAATGGAAGGAGAGAATAAATTCCCAAAAGCTGTCCTCTAACCTCAAGTGCACTGTGGTATACACATACACACACACACACACACCCCACAGCTGCTGAGGTAAACACAAGACTACATTCGATAACATTCTATTTTTGATTTTAAAATCTAACCAATAGATTTTGGGCTTTTTTTTTTTTTTTTTTTTTTTGAGACAGAGCCTCAGTCTGGCCTCACGCTCTTCCTGAGCACTCAGCTTGGCTCTTAGGAGTGTGTACCATCATACCTGGCCAACCATCAGAAAGTGAACCGCTCCTCACTAAGAAATGAATCAAGAACAAGAAAGGCACAAGAGACAGTTTGCCTGTGTGTCTCATCTTACTTGAGCACTAACTCACAAACCAAGTGGACAGACAAGTGGAAAAGCAAACGCAGTAAAATGTTACAGTGGCACACGGCTGTCAATGGCTACTGTAAAAAACTATCAAGCCAGTCAGTGGTGGCATGTACCTTTAGCCCCAACACTCGGGAAGCAGAGGTAGGCAGATCTCTGAGCCCAAGGCCAATCTGGTTGAAGAATGAATTCCAGGACAGCCAAGACTACACAGAGAAACCCTATCTCCAAAAAACTAAAAAGTCAAATTTTTCTGCAGCTTTGAAGTATTTTATAACAAAAACATTAAGGATTAGAAAGCATCATTTACAATAGAAAGTACAAGGGAAGTTGGTGCCTTAACCATTGTAAGCAACGGACTCTACTCAGGAGGCTAGACAGCATGGACAAAAGGAAACAGATAACTCACTAGCATATAGCCACCCAGGAAAGCAAGAGTGGGGCCAGTCTACAGTAAGACTCTCGCAGAACAGGCTCAGTCAGTCTGACTAGATCACATCAGCGTTTTCAATCTTGTAAGAATTTGAGTTAAAATATTTTAGTCAAAGAAAAATGTTGTGCTTCTATTTATCCTAGAGTTATGATTGAAATCATTTTGAAATCTGCATGAAATGGACATATTTTTAGGATAACATAAATTGGCAGAACTAAATGAAAAAGACACAGAAGTGCCAAGACACAAACGATCTCCAGGCCATGTTCTAGCTGTTCTAGCCGCGTATGGAGACATGAAGACAACGCTGTGCATCTGGTGCAAACCTGACACCAGAGGACGATAGGCAGCTGAAAGAAGTCTGTTTCGACTAAGGGATTGTAAGGCCCTTTCAGGCAAATGCCAAGGATTAGGACTGATCAGCTAGGGTTAGGGCTAAAATGATCTGGACACCAGAAAGGCAAAGGAGAATCTCACATGGCCACATTGACACCTCGCCAAAAACTCACCTCAGAAGTAAATATTCTTTCAGAGTAAGAAAACAACTTGATAAGCAAGAAATGAAGCACTACTTGAGGCAGAGGCAGGCGGATTTCTGAGTTCGAGGCCAGCCTGGTCTACAGAGTGAGTTCCAGGACAGCCCGGGCTACACAGAGAAACCCTGTCTTGTGGAAAAAAAAAAAGCAGCACTACTTGTAAAACATAATAAAAACTACTACATAATAAACACATAATACATAACTACTGCAAAGCAACAGCATCATCCTTGTAAAGAGTCTTCATCTCTTCCCAAAATGTATTAAATGTATTCAACAAAACAAGCGCCGGCCCCACCACCCTCACCTCCTATTAGCACCGCTGCGACCCTTTCTTCCCTTTCACCGTGCGGATCCCAGGTACTGAACTCAGCTCATCAGGCTTGGTGACGAGCACCCAACCCACCAAGCCACTGACCCCTTATCTTAATAAGGAGTTTTCATATGGCTAAGTGAAGAAACACATCTTGGCTATGAGACTTTTGTTTTGTTTGTCTGTTTGTTTGTTTGTTTTTCGAGACAGGGTTTCTTTGTGTAGCCCTGGCTGTCCTGGAACTCACTCTGTAGACCAGGCTGGCCTCGAACTCAGAAATCCACCTGCCTCTGCCTCCCAAGTGCTGGGATTAAAGGCGTGCGCCACCACCGCCCAGCCGGCTATGAGATTTAATGCTATAGAGATGAATGTTGTCTCTAAAATGAATTCATAAATACAGGCCGATGGAATCTTTTGTTAAATTTCTTTTTAAGAAAACAATTTAAAGATGTATCTATTCTAGAACACTGATGTCCTGTAAGAATACAAGCCACATGTTTTCAGTGTGTTTCAAGTTACCAAGCCTTCATTCAAGCCTCCCTCACCTCTACAGTACAGTGCTGGATACAGAACCCAAGGAAGGCCCTGCTGTGCAGTGCCCTAGCCTCCTGCACTGCTGAGAACGGGCCCACTGCTGGGGAGCACCTAGCCCACTTAGTAGTTGTGCTTGTGAAATAAAAATAAAATAAAATAAATACTTAATTTAACCCAATAGAGTAAACATCATCATGAGGCATTTTAAATTCCTCACCACTTCATGCCAAATAAACCTGTCTCAAAAGAAAAAAGAAAAATCTACCCAGAGTTAATGTACAACTGGGCACAGGCATCAGGGGAGTCCTACACTTTTCACCATAAATCCTGGTGACAGCAGGTCTTCTTCAGAGTGAGGGTGTGGTCACAGAAGGCCAACCGAGCAAATGCTACTTTACATAGGATCAAAGGGATGCAGAAAGGTTATCTAGATCAGTGAGGTTGTGGGAGTCCTGCAGGGAAAGGCTCTCTACAAAAGGAATCACATGTCTCAAGAGATAGAGACAGAATCAGGAAGGAAGGACTGGCTAGACGCTCCTCTTCAGCAAGGACAGGGTACAGGGAAGAGCAGCGGCCAAAGAAGCTGCTGGTGACAGTGGACTTCACACCAAGATTTCAGGACAATCACTAAATAGAGGTGGTTTGGGGAACTTGATAAACCTCTGGATAGATCCTTCCTGTATAGCATGATGTCAATGCAGAAATGTGGAGGTATAACCACAGAAATAAAGCCTTTTTAGATCTTAAAAATGCTTACAAAAAGCCGGGCGGTGGTGGCGCACGCCTTTAATCCCAGCACTTGGGAGGCAGAGGCAGGTGGATTTCTGAGTTTGAGGCCAGCCTGGTCTACAGAGTGAGTTCCAGACTGCCAGGGCTATATAGAGAAACCCTGTCTCGAAAAAACAAAAAACAAAACAAACAAACAAAAATGCTTACAAAAAAGGGGCAGAAAATAAATTATGAAAAGAATTTACAAAATACATAGCCGAGAACTATGAAATTCACAAATAATAAATACCAAAGATCACAACTGAAAACTCCATAACTATGAGCAGATGCTTCTTTACAACAAAGAATAAAAATAGCCTTTCAGATAAAGACAATCATCTCATCAGTAAACAAACACATTTAAGAAGAGATGCAATTCTTTCTCCATTTGGCAAGACTTACAAAAATACACCCATCACCTAGAAAAGGTCAGGCGTCACCTGTCTCATGGCATTTCCCAGCAGAAGGTGTTTAAATAGCAAATCAAAGGCTGAAAGGAAGGCAAGGAGTCCTA